AAATATTTTAATTTGTTTGGTAGGCCAATATTGTGTAGAATAATGTTACATGTACTTCCCTCAACGTTTAGTTGTTACAACTCTTTAGAAGCGACCATACACTTACACTGTTAGATTCACAATGAATAACTATATACTTTTAAATTTGTTATATAGGCCAATAGAGTATAGAACAATATTACGTGTATTTACCTCAAAGTTTCTGTTGGATATACAAGACTGTTTAGTTTAATAGTTATTATTTAATTTATTTGGTGATTTAATATTTAATTATTATTTACTTTTCATAACAAGATGGTTAAAAGTAGCTATTTTAAAGGCGATAGTTATGACACGCTTGGTTTGCGTAACTCGGTAATACATTAAGACATCATGCCCTTGCGGGTATCAAAGAGTGACATCCTGAATGTAGGTCTACGGGAGTGGAAGAAAGCTCAGAAGAAAGACCCTTCTCTGCAGAAACTTTGGGACAGTTCCCGAGAGAAAGTCAAGCAAAAGGTAAGATAGAATGAGACTAATAAAATAGAGGGCCGGAAAGAAGCATTGAACCAGACCTTTCAAAGCAGTTCTACTGTGGAAACCAAACCCATTCTATAACAAAAAGGCCAAGGGTCAGACGTTTCAAGGTAGGACAGAAGGTTTTAGTTCTGCTACCTACAGACAATAACAAACTCATCCTGCAGTAGAAAGGACCTTTTGAAGTCTGTTGAAGAGGTACTTCGAAAAAGAAGAATACCTAACGGGTGCAGCCATCGAGGTACAGGTGGACATGGCAGGTGTTCTATAACAAGACCAAGGGCCAGACGTTTCAAGGTCCGACAGAAGGTCTTAGTTCTGTGAAAGTTAGCAAAAGAAAACGTGAAGTTAGCTGGCGTATGAGTTATTAGCGACATTTTATAGTGAGTTTCACAGTTTAATAGAGATAAGGAGAATAATTTGTCTTGTTAAATGGTGTTCTAAAGTGAATGAACCCGTTTGTGTGGACTTTGACAAAAAGGAGACAATTATTTAAAGTTCCAGATACAACTATGGTAACCCATTGGGTAGTGTATTTCAATTATTCAGTGATACTATTGTGATAAGAGCAGAGAAAAAAATAGTTCGTCTTGTCAATTGGATTCTAAAGTAATTACATCAGCCTAAGTGGACTTTTGAAAATAAAATATAATTATTTAGAGTTTGGGATACAACTGTGATATCTATAATGTAAAGAACTTTTGTACATACGTTTGACTTGTTTTGAATATATTATTTTCAACAAGTGGGTTGTGTGCTATCCGTTTATTGTTCAAAGAATCCTCAGCCCACTCATATTTAAAACCCTGACAGTTTCATTGCTACACTTCTTCAGGAGTAACCTTCTACTTACACTGCTAGATACACGTTGAGTAACTGTACACTTGTTCTATAGGCCAATAGAGAATATAGAACAAGGTTATATTTATTTCCCTCAACGTTTTGTTGCTACAACTTCCACTTACACTGCTAGATACACGTTGAGTAACTATACACTTGTTCTATAGGTCAATAGTGAATATAGAACAAGATTATATTTATTTCCCTCAACGTTTTCTTGCTACAACA